CATCTGGGCCCCGTTTGGTGGAGGTACTGCCCGTAGCCTGCATGCTCACCCTCTAGAACCCTTGCGTCCAGGTAATCGCGCCCCTCCTCCCTCTTGCCCAGGACCCCTGGCTGGGTCTAGGCTTCTCAGGCAGGCAGTGCTGTCCTCTGCGGCCGGCCCGCGAGGGCTGCCCCCTGGTGAACAGGCAGCCCCGGCAGAAAAACCAGGGGCCACTTTTCCAGACGTGCCCTCCGGCGCACCGTGGGTTTTTGCATGCTCGCCTCTGCACCAGACCCTGCTGTGCTTCGGTGCGTGAGGTCTGTGCCCCGGCGGGGTGGGGCGCTCGGAGTCATAGCAGATGCCCGCAGTGTCCCTCCCTCTGCGCTGCCTGTGCAGACACAGAGGCCCTGCCCCGGACAGGACAGCAGCAGCTCCATTTACTCACGTCCTCCTGTACTCACACCTGTGTTGGTGCCTAGACTGTGATGAGTTTTGTTCTAGGCACTGCAGTTCGGTGGGTGGTGAACAAAGTAGATGGTGACTCCGCCCCCTCCCTGTGCTTTCCTGGGGGAGGGTGGGGGGAGGGGAGACAAAGTGAGAGGCAGTGAGAGGCTACAGCCAGTGGGAGGACAGTGGGACCTGGAGGCCAGCTCAGTGAAGTCCCCGGGAGAACGCAGGGAAGAGCACGCAGCAGAGGGACTAGTGAGTCCGTGGGCCCTGAGGTGGGATCGGGCGGTGGGAACACAAGGAATCTCAGGAAGGCAGGTGCGTCTGAGGAGCAAGGGCGCCAGAGTGGGGCCCTGAGGCGAGAGAGGGCACCGGGGCTTGGGAGCACGTGGGGATTTCAGATTTGGTTCTAAATCGATGGGGCATCAGGGAGGCTCTGAGCAAGAGACAGACATGACCTGACTTAGCTGTATAATAGGAGCCCCGTGGCTGCCATGCGGGGGTGGACCGCAGACAAGAGTGGACGCGGCCGTCTGGGACAGTGGGGAAAGGTCACGGGCAAGGGCTGGCGTGGGAGTGAAGACTGAGGAGTGGTCGCTGCAACTGTTCTGCAGGCGGCGCTGCCGGGTTTGCCGATGGTCTGGACGTGGGGCAGTTGCTGTGTCCATGGGTGGGTGTCCCCATGAATCATCACGAAAAGAGCTTTGGGGGGTATGGCCACGCGGCTGGGCTGGGCCGGCGGCTCCCTGTGGAGCGTGTAGAGCAGGGCCTTCGGCCGCCAGGCTCTGGCACAGGAGTCACGGGAGGCCTGCTCTCCCACTCGGTGTCTAATCGGTGCCCAGTCCAGACAGGCCAAAGGTCACCTGGGGGCTGGCAGCACATCTCCAGGTCCTGCATGCCTCGTGGGCGGGCCCCTTCCCGCCACCTCTCCCCGCCCTCCTCTCCATTCCTGGCTGTAGAACTCCTGACACCTTGCAGGGAGCACAGATCTCTTATGTAGTGGAGTCGCTATGACTTTGAAAGTTACAGTTTTCCTCCTGGGCTTCATCCGTGGCCTCACACTGTCAGCATAGCCTCCTGCCCCTGATGGTCACAGCGGGCATGACCCACAGCCCCGAGGTAATGGCCGGGAGGATCGCCTGCCGAGGGTTCTGGCAGCCGCCACGGGCGTCCTTTGGTGCAAGGTGGTTGATAGTGAGCAGATGGAACATAATAGGCTTCCATGTGGCTGGACTTTGCTTTATGATAAGTGGCACCTTTGAACACCGGGAATAGGAGAATATATCCGTGATCTTGGGGTAGAGAAAGATTTGTAAAATGGATTACAGAAAGCATTACTCCTGTAGGAAAAGATTGACAAATTGTACTATATAAAATGAAGAGCATCAGTTCTTTAAAAGGCAGATTGAGAAAATGAAAAGCAGCTATAGATTGAAAGAAAGTGCTTGCTACATATACAACCATCAAATGACTCACCCTTTAGACTCCTACAAACCAATGAGGCCAAGACAGGCAAGCCGGTAGAAACTTAGGCGAGAGACTGGAACAGCCGCTTCGCAGCAGAAGAAACCCCCCTGAGCAGTGGGCATAGGCAGGTGCCCAGCCTCAGCAGTAACCAGGGAAGTGCCCATTAAACCACATCGCGATCCTTCTCACCCACCCGCGTGGCTAAAGGAAAAGGACCGTCGGTTTCAGGCGGTGCTGAGGGCAGCAAGCCACAGACACCTGCAGATGGCGCCAGGGAAGTCGGCGGTCCCTGCAGAAGTCGGTGCTGTGCACACCTATGTTTTAGTGGATCTGCTACTAGGCTTGTTGCAAACAGAAATGTGTGCACACGTGTGCCAGGAGACTGTGCACGCCTGATGTTCACAGCAGCCTTATCAACGATGACCTGATGCCAACCAAGTGTGTAACAGCAATACAGTGGACAAATAAATAGGATTCGTTCTGAGAACAGAAAACTCACAACAAACCCAACATGCCTGAATCCTAAACACCCAGCGGGACCAGGGAGGCCTAACAATGTGCTTTAGGATTTCATGTATGTAAGGCTGAAAAACAGGGCAGCAGTGAGTTATTATTCATGGACAGATAATTAAGCAGCAAAAATATGAAGAAAAGCGAAGAAATGACGCCATAAAAGGATGGTAGTCACAGTTACACAGGACTTCATCTTGCAATAATGTCTTTTCTGGATGTGTGCATATATTATATAAAAAATAAAACAAAGATGGGAAACTGCAAGTCAAAGAATCTGTCTGAGCTCATGACACAGCTAGTTGGGGATCAGAGCTGAGAAATGAAGGCTGCTGTTCTGAGCCCAAGGCTGTGCGTCGTCCCAGCCCCACGGGCACTGTCGCACAGGTCTGCACCGCCGTGTGCGCGCCTGCTCAAGCCTTCCCCACGCTCTCTTCCCTCCCTCCCTGTCTGTCTGTCTGTCCTCTCCCCCCGCCCCCCGCTTGCTCGCAGTGAGGGCCCTGTACAGAATCCCACATAGAAGCCAGACTTGCCCCTCCTTCAACCCCCCCTCCCCACCCCACAGTGTGTATCAGACTCTCAGGCTGTGTGCTGAAGAACTTGCGAGAATTAAAACAGGAACCGTCATCAAAGGTGCTTTATCTCTTTTCTAGAAATCTAGAGGAAACACAGAAACCCCAGGGGTTAGTGATGGTGACGTGTCTGGGCAAGCATGGGCGCTCCCAGGTGGGCTGCAGCCTCGGGAGGTTTCCTGCCAAAGCTGTTATTAGCCTGGGTTCCACTGGAAAGGAGGCTAGAGGATCAGTCCTTCTTTCACTGTTTAATAACGGAGCCCAAGAGCCCTTTCAAGCGTGTTTGTTCTGGCAGAGCGCGGGCCACCTCTGACAGCTGAATGGGCAGCGTGCCCGCTGCGGTTAGAGCCTGGGCGTCCCCACAGAGGAAACGGCAGGCCAGTGGGTCAGGGGAGCCTGGTACCGCTGGTGGCCTGCCCAGGGGTGAAGTCATTCATTCATTCCTTCACTCAGCCAGTCAGTCATTCGCTCAAGAATGTGTGCTAGGGGCCCGAGACACAGCAGTGAGCAAGAAAGACAAGGTCCCTGCCCTCCCGGAGACAGATAACCAAGGCAAGTAAGCCCATTGTAGGCTAGATGGTGATGAGGGAGGGCAAGCAGGAGTGATGGGGGTGGTCAGAGGTTAGCGACAGTTGAATAAAGGAGATGAAAGGGTGAATTAAACATACTCCTGGGCAGAGAGTTTTGGTGGCAGAGGCTGGAGTTTCCATGATGGCAGAGCAGCAAGGAGGCCAGTGTGGCAGGAACAGTCTGTGAGGGGGAGAGGAGGACACAGGTCAGAGAAGTAATGGGTCGTAAGTCGGGAGGGCCTTGTGATCATGGTGATGACTGTGGCTGTTCCTTGGGGTGAGGCGGTGCTATTGACAGGCTTTGGACAGGATGGCAGAGTCTGACTCAGGTTCCAGCAGGAGCCCTCTGACTGCCGTGTGGAGAATAGATAAAAGAATGCAAGGGCGAAACAGGGAGACCAGTTAGATGCTAATTATACAGCTATACAGGTGGGAGATGATGGCGTGGCCCAGGAAGATATTGGTGATGAGAAGTAATTGAATTCTTGATGCATGATGAAGGTGAGCCTATAGTAGTTCCCTGTTAGAATGGAAGAAAGGTGTAAGAGAATGAGAGTCATCAAGGTAATTCCAAGGTGTTTCGATCCAAGCAACTGGAAGGCTGGATTAGCTATTAACTGAGGTGAGAAAGACCACAGGGAAGTATATTTGTTTGGCAGGAAAATCAAGAGTTTACTTTGGGGCTCAGTCTGAGATACCTGTGGGAGACTCAAGTTTAGAAGTCAAGCAGGCAGTTAGACATTTAAGTCTAAAGATTAGGAGAGAGGACTGGGTTGGAGAGAGAAACACAAACACATAGATGGGGTTTGAAGCCATGAGACTGGATGAGACACCACCAAGCAAGTATAGGAACAGCAGAGAACCAGAGCTGAGTCTTGAGCTGCTCCCCCGTAAGAAGTCAGGAGCAGAGGAGGAGCCAGCAGAAGCAGCTGGGAAAGAGGACCAGTGAAGGAGGGGAGCCAGGAGCCAGTGGGGTCCCTGAGACGAGTGAAGAGAATGTCTAAGGAAGAGGAGCAGTGATCAGCTAGCTGTGCTATGCACTGCCAATACAGCAATCAGTAGAGAACAGGCAATGAGCACCACTCATCAGTAACTTGAACAAGGATGGTTTTGGTGGAGAGCTAGAGATAAGCTTGAAAATAGTAGGTAGGAGAAAGAATAAGAGGTGGGGAATTGGAGTGTGAGCATAGTCAACTCTCTCAAGAAGTTTGCTGGAAAGGAAAAGAGAAATGGAATAGTAGCTGAAGGGGGAAGTCAGGTAGAGGTTTCTGTTTATTACTTTCCTTTAGTTGAGAGACAAACAGCAATGCAAAAGATTGATGGTGCAGGAGAGAGAAAAATTGCTGGAGCACCAATATTTCTCGTGGCTATAAATGCAAAAATGCTCAACAAAATACTAACAAATTGAATCCAGCAATATACAAAACCATTATGCACCATGACCAAATGAGATTTATCCCAGGAATGCAAGGATGGTTCAACATCTGAAAACCAATTCCTGTAATACATCAGTAGAATAAAGAACAA